ATTTGTTATAGACCTGAACTACAGTACTAATAAATCTATTTCAATAACACCTAATCAAATTCAAATATCTTTTCTTTTTTAAAAAATATATTTTATTGATTTTTTACAGAGAGGAAGGAAGAGGGATAGAGAGTTAGAAACATCGATCAGCTGCCTCTTGCACACCCCCTACTGGGGATGTGCCCGCAACCAAGGTACATGCCCTTGATCGGAATCGAACCTGGGACCCTTCAGTCCACAGGCCGACGCTCTATCCACTGAGCCAAACCGGTTAGGGCTCACATATCTTTTCTATAGGAAAATGTATCCCAAGTTTCAACCAAGGAAACCAGAAACACTTTTCCTTTTTTTGTTGTTTTTTGTTTGTTTTAGCTTTTTAAGCCACAGGGGGACACAGGGTATAGTATCGGGACTCTAATAAGGAAACTCTAATATGGGTGTGGAAGAAGACAAAGGGGACCTAGTTTCCTGCAGGGTATCTGTAAGTGAGTAACTCTGTGTCACATGTGTCACTTCTCCAGGTCAATCTCTGTTGAGTTCAGATTTGGAGAAGACAAAAACAGACTCTCCACCAGGAGCTGAAATGAGATCAGGACTTACATTTCTGAATCTTTAGAGTTGAAAAGTAGGATGCATGTCAGAGCTGCACCCAAAGGGATACTGGGTTCAGAAGAGGTAGAGTGACTTGCATTAGCCTCATCATCCTCTGTCTGAGGCTGAATATCCACAAATGTTTTATTTATACCCTGTCTCCTAGATATGAAAGAAAGATAGAACACAGAGATTTCACTGACTGAAGGAGGAATTCAAGTTCATAAATAAGAAAATTTCAGACTATAACCATTGATAAAGACTGGATGAAGTTATAAAATTTCCGCTTTAGGCATTCTAACTGCTATTCAGGATTCATTTGTCCACAGACATACTCTCTATTCTTTCTCTCAACAATCCAACAATCCTATATCTGTCATTCCCCTACAAGACCATATTTTTTAATAGAGAGGGAGAGAGAGAGAGAAACACTGATCGGTGCCTCCAGTATGTGCCCCGATCAGGGATCGAATCCACAACCTGGGTATGTCTCCTGACAGGGAATCAAACCCACAACCTTTTGGAGTATAGGACGATGCTCCAGCCAACTGAGCCAACCAGCCAGGGCAAGACAATGTATTTTTGAAAACTCTCATTTCTTATGTCATGTGAACTTGAAGACAAACCATTTGAAGTGCCTACTGATTACCGTAAGCACAAGGTTACTAATGAGATATACCTTTCTGCATAGGACAAGGCTTGCTAACGAGTTAGTCGGACAACAGTCAACTGAAGGTCATCACCACCAATTCACTGTCCAAGGAGACCCCAAGTTGGAGTGGGGTGAGGGGGAAGATTTTATTCAATGAAAACAGCTCAATTGTGAAGCAACTCTGTTGTGAGACAGCTCAGGCATGAAAGAGCAGTCTAAGTGGCTATGCCGTTACACCACCAGCTCCAGTGTTACAGCTTTGGCTGGTGAAATAGTCTTCAATGGTTACAAGTGTGCTCTGTTGAGGTAGAGGTGAAGCGGGCTTATATAGAGAAGACTGCCACACCCTGGTCCCTGATTGGACCATTTCTATGCAAGTAACTCTAAATCCACAGTTTGACTGACCCAAACAGCATTTTCTTGATTGGTTGGAATGGAGCCACTCTGATTGGTTGGTAAAGATGGAAATGAAGATTTAGTTGCAAAGCCCCAATTGGTTAGGGCAGGTCTTCAGCTCATTGGTTGAGCCAAGGAGCTTATTTAAAAGGTCCAGGAACATGGTGCAGGAGGCAGGCAGCTCAGTGTAGCTTTTTCCATAAGTGCAGAGAGCATAAGAAGCCTCTCTTTAGCAATGACTATACTAGTAGTCTTTGTTTATAAATTTGAGACAAATTAAACATCAGGAGTCCTTTTTAACAGGCACATTCATTCTCGGGGTCAACATAACAAAGAGCATGTGCACACTGAGCTCACCTAACACATGTTATAATGTGAATAAATCTGCCTCATGAATTATTCATCACTTATTTCCATTTAAAGTGCATTTGCAAAAGTGTTCCTGTCAGAAGAATTACTATCAAAACTTAGATTGTCATTCCATGTCAAGGACATCTCAGAATGGAAAAATGAATGTCTATTCCTCAGGGCTGCTTCCTCCCCACACAAACTGCCTGGGACACAATCCATTTAGGAAGATTCTCGGATGTCCAGAAAATATACATCCTCAGTCAGCATCCCATTGTTTAAGGGTTCAATTAGCTCTTTAAGTGTCACCACAAAAGGCCCTGGCTCTGAGCGGTTCTGCCTAAGACGGCCTATAGTGTGTGGGTTCCTGACTTCATGCAGGAAAGACTTTGCAATAAGAGTCGAGGTGATTTTGAGAGTATGTTTTTTAAAGCTGGAGACAGGGAACACAGCAAGGACTTAGGATAGAACAAGCGACAAGTGACAGCCTAGATGGGGCTGCTTTGGCTCCCTAGAAATGTTATAGAAAAGTGAGCCAAGACGGGGCTGCAGTCAGCTGAGAATAGTCACAGTGACAGGAGTGAGCCAAGGCTGGGCTGACATTAACTCACTAAAGTCAGAGAAAAGAGGGCCTTGGACACAGGTTTGGGGGAATGTCGGGGTCGAGCTGATGCTGCCTGCTGCTCCCCTGGGTTGCAAGTCTGGTGGGGACCCTTAGAGTTTAGGTGAAAGTTCATACTTGAGAAAGAAATGGCAGGGGCCAGGCTAATGTGTGGCTCAGTGGATTGAGGGTCATCCCATGTACCAAGAGTTCACTGGTTCAATTCCTGATCAGGGCACATGCCCAGGTTGTGGGCTTGATCCCTAGTAGGGAGAGTGCAAGAGGCAGCCAATCAATGTTTTTCTCTTTCCCCCTCTCCCTTCCTCTCTATCAATAAAAACAGAAGTAGACAAATTGGCTGGACCATGGTACCCAGATATTTGGTTAAACTTTATTCTGGATGTTTCTGTGAAGGTGACTTTTGGATGAAATTAACATTTAAGTCAGTGAGCTCTGAGTAAAGCAAGAGGCCCTTCACAACGTGGATGAACTTCATCCAATCTGTTGAAAACCTTGACAGAACAAAGGCTGACCTCCCATAAGCAAGAAGGAATACTGCCAACAGACAGCCTATAGACTCAAACTGCAACGGGAATAAGCAGGTTGGAAAATAATTATCTTACTTGTTTTTACTAATCTTTTCTAAATGTATGTGTAATTCACATTTATTTCAATGTTTAATAATAGTAATGTTTTGATTTTATTTAGAATTTTGGTTCCCAGTCAGTGAGGCTCAGTGGCTGACAGTCGACCTATGAACCATGAAGTCACAATTCAATTCCTGTTCAGGGCACATGCCCCGACTGCAGGCTCAATCCCCAGTGGGGGGCATGCAGGAGACAGCCAATCAGTGATTCTCATCATTGTTGTTTCTATCTTTTCTCTCCCTCTCCTTTCCTCTCTGAAATCAATAAAAATATTTACTTTTTTTTTTAAAGAAGTTTGGCGATGTTTTTGTGACCAGAAATATGCCATAGGAACTTAACTCTTGCATTCTCAGTTGGTCTATGGTAAAACTGGTTTCATTATACACTGTTTCACATAAAGGCACCGTTTCTAAGAACTTATCGACAACTTACTGTAATGAGGACTTACTGTAAATGTTATGCTGAGTTCTTATGTGAGCCTCTCTAACAAACTAACCAAATCTGAGGTGGAGGTTTTGGAAGCCTCCCACTTACAGCCAGTCGGTCAGAAGCACAGGTAATAAACTGGACTTGCAACTGGCGTCTGAAGTGGGGGCAGTTTTGTCGGATTGAACCCTTAACCTGTGGGGTACAATGCTATCTCCAGATCGTGTCAGAATTGAATTAAATTGCAGCACAGCTAGTCAGTGTCTACTGAGAACAGGAGAACTGCTTGGTGGTATTGGGAAAAACACACTTCAGGAGCACTATAATCTCAAGAAGCAGTGACCTGACAGAACAAACTTCTTTGCATAAAAGAATCCCTTTATCTTAAAAACACTAATTACTGGGGTTTACAAATATGATGTTAGCACCACAAGAGTGCCCACATCAAAATACCCTTGGTTGGAATTCATTTTTTAGTTGCATATGAAAGGAAAAGAGAATATAAGAGACAAGGACTTACAAGTGGTAGGTGGAGACAGAAGCACAGAGATTTACAAGAGAGTCTAACAAATTTTAGTTCATCATATAAAGCCATCACTTTATAAATCCACCATATCTACGTTCAGTAGTGGGTCTCAAAGTGTGGTCCCCAGTTCAACCACAACATCACCTGTCAGAAATGTGCATTCCTGGTCCCCACCGCAGACTTACTGCATCATTCCCTGGGGAAGGAGACCAGGAATCTGTTCTAACAAGCACCCCAGATGATGCTGATGCACACTAAAGCTGAGAACAGTAATCTCCAGTAAAGTCAAATACCTTTAAGATAAGGCACAACTAAATCAGGAAATTCTAGAAACCGAGTAGCAGAATTTTACTATATCACTATGGGTCCTGTGGCGGAAACGTTTATGTCTCCTTTTTTATAAGACATTTAATAAAAAATGCTTTTCCAATACCATCTAACTGACATTACTTAAGAATATTTTCATGATCTAAAATTTTCAGTTCATTCATAGGTTGCTTTGTGCTCAACAAAACAAAACAAAGCAAAAGTTTTGAGAGAGGACTATGATACATTCCCAGGCAAAACGTACAGGCTAAGGCACCATATTATAAATTGCTAAGCTTAAAATTAAGTTTTTTAGTTCTTCCATCACATGGGACATAAAACTCATCAGTAAAAACTAAAAAGGGCCAATGCATATAATATTTCTACAAAATTTGCACTTATCATATGAAAATTTGCCAAAGGGGACAAAATCCTGCCAAAGAGGCAATTCCTCTGCCAATTTAATTCAGGCTATTAGCATTTCTTCCTATAGGAAAAAATAAATACCTTTAAACTGCTTGATCATGTTCTGATGGTTTTCAATGGCTTCCTTTAAGATCACTTCAGGCTGGTCCATCTTCCACCGCCACTCAGTGCCCACTGGGTTGGTGTGGTGCCTTAGGAAAAAGAGGCAAAAGTGCTAAAGTACTCTCTGTATTAAGGTCTCAGCTACGCATCTACTATGATGAAGTAGTTAATAAAATCATAAAATCAGGGTTGATTTCCCCCTAAATACTTGGCTGTTTATAGCTGTATTTTCTTATTTAATTAGAAATGAGTTTAAGTCATGACACCTAGCAGAGAGTGGTAGCTAGAGAAGTGCCTGGCTGAGACTGAGGTTTAATCATAACAATATCAAATGTGTACCCCTCTCTCCAAGCCACCCACTACCAGGCTAACAAACATTTAATAACAGTAGAATATTGCCAGAATAATCACAAGATCATAGTGATAGACCCTTCCTGAGAGACAGCGCAATGGGAAGACCTAAAGCTTAGGAAGGATCAGATATTGAGAAAAAAGCCTCTGGCAGACAGACCAACCTCCATGCTATACACAAGGTAATCCTAAAGGAATTTTAAGGCAGTGATACACTGCTGGTATTCACAAAAACATCAAAACTTAATTCATGCCCAAATCTTGACTAAATTAACTCAAATTCCAACAAGAAAGGCGTAGCAGAAAGAAAATGCGTGCTGACTTTAAACTACAGAAAACATTTACCTCAGTCTCCAATGCACTAAACAAAATGTCCCACTTGAAACAAAAACTTATAAGGTATACAAAAAAGCAAGAAAAACAATACACTTCCAATAGAAAGCATCAACAAAACCAAACTCTTTATTTATATATATATATACACACACACACACACACACACACACACACACACATATATTTTAATCGATTTCAGAGAGGAAGGGAGAGGGGGAAAGAGATAGAAACAGCAATGATGAGAGAGAATCATGGATCAGCTGCCTCCTGCACACCCCACACTAAGGACTGAGCCTGCAATCCAGGCATGTGCCCTGACGGAGAATCAAACTGTAACCTCCTCGTTCATAAGTCAACGCTCAACCACTGAGCCATGCCAGTTGAGCAAAACCAAGCTCCTTTGATATAAGTGTTGGCACTATCTGACAAGAAATTTTTTAAAACTATGATTAACATGTTAAAAACTCTAATAAAAGAGGTGAGCAACATGCAGGGTCAAATGGGTAAATTCAGCAGAGATGAGATTTATAACACAATCAAACAGAAATGCTAACTATGAGAAAATAGGTCTTCAACAGTTTCAACAGATTAGAACCAGCTGAGGAAAGAGTAAAAGAACTTGAAGAAAGCAATACAAATAAGCCAACTAAAACACAAAGACTAAAAAATAAAAAGTTTAAGTGAAATAAAGAACACAGTATCCAAGAGTAATGGGAAAATATCAAAGATCCAAAATACACATAATTGGAATCCCAGGAGGAAAACAAAGGGTACTAAACAGGAAGAAATAGTAGAAAAATTATAGCCAACTATTTCCCAGAGGTAATGAGAAACAACCACACATCCAAGTTCACAGAACAACCAACAAGATATTTTTCTAAAGCCTAAAAATATCATATCCAAACTGATGAAATAAAAAGAGAAAATCTGTAAGTTAGAGAAACAAGACACATTATATTACAACAAAGATAAAAATTACACCTGACATCTCATCAGAAAATAAGCCAGCCCAGAAGCACTAACATCCCAACAGAAATGAGCACATGAAACATCCAAATTTTGGATTCTAACTACCATTCTTCAATAAAAGAAACTATGGTTCCTTAGAAAAACAGTTGATTCCAGGGCTGGGCAGAGAAAACACAAGATGAACCTAGACTCTTCTGGAGTCAGAAAATACAGAAATATTTTTAAAAGAAAGAAAGAAAAAATACAGGAGACAATCCAGAAGAGCTCCCAATTGCCAAAGCTGGAAAAATATGAACAATAAAATGAATAACAAAACTATTGGATTAAAACCAAAGGAATTAGTATCCTTGAGTCCAAACTAATTTAAACAAATAATTTCTTGATTTTGATGACTAGTCCCTGGTTATTTAAGGTCTTAACATTACAGAAAGCTGGGTAAAGAAAACATAGGAATGCTACTATTTCTGTAACTCTTCTGTAAATCTAAAATTATTTCAAAACAAAATGTGCCTATAAGACTAAATTATAGAACAAGGATCTTATACTTTAAAAACCTATAGGTAGAAAAAAAGAAAAAAACAAATATATATATATATATATATATATATATATATATATATACATGTATTTATATGTGTGTATGTGTGTGTGTATATACACACACACACATACGTACATACTAGAGGCCCGGTGCACAAAATTCATGCACGGGGGTGGGGTGGGGGGGGCGTCCCTCAGCCCAGCCTGTGCCCTGTCACAGTCTGGGAGCCCTCAGGGTGTGGCCGGGGGGGGGGGCGGGGGTGTCCAACTGACTAAGCCATCAGTCAGACATCCTTAGTGCTGCTGCAGAGGCAGGAGAGGCTCCCACCACCACCGCTGTGCTTGCCAGCCATGAGGCCAGCTCAGGGCATCTGGCTGAGCAGCGCTCTCCCTGTGGGAACACAATGATCACCAGGGGGCAGCTCCTGCATTGAGCACCTGCCCCCTGGGTGGTCAGTGTGCGTCACAGCGACCAGTCGTTCTACCATTCGGTCGATTTGCATATTAGCCTTTTATTATAGGATAATTATTTCAACCATGTTAAAGAAAAATGAAAGGAAACACTCAAAAAATTCAGAAAGCAAATATTTCAAAGCACTAAAAATTATTTGTCTGGAAGCTAGAATTATAGGTAGTTGTCAGTGAAGGAAAAAAACTGGATTAGCAGAAAACACACACAAAAAGGATTTGCATAATTTAGGAATTTTTCTTTCACTTGAATATTCCCAACTTACTTATAAAATTCAATTCTACATATCATGGTCTATAGCCAGCTTAAGGATAACACTCAGGGCTTATATTTCCAACAAGATAACTAGAAAAGCCTCCCACAAGAAACACATAAACTGATACCTTAGCATAACAGTAGTCTTAGATAGAAAAAAGATAGAGACAAAAATGTAGAAAAACAAATAAACAGAAGGCACAAATCAGAGATTAAGAATAAATGTTTATTAATAATTTATCAATATTTATCAATATCAACAATCACTATAAAGCAATTGAGTGGGTTTAGAAACTATGGTACATCTACACAATGGAATACTATGCTGTGGTAAAAAAGGAATTCTAACCATTTGCAACAGCATGGTTGGAACTGGAGAGCATTATGCTAAGTGAAATAAGCCAGTCAGAGAAAGATAAATATCACATGATCTCACTCATTTGTGGAATATAATGAACAACATAAACTGATAAACAAAACAGATCCAGAGACAGAGAAGCATCGATCAGACTGTCAAACCTCAGAGGGAAGGTAGGGGAGGGTGGGGGTAAGGGGGAGAGATCAACCAAAGGACTTATATGCATGCATATAGCCTAACCAATGGACACAGACACCAGGAGGGTGAGGGCATGAGTGGGGGGTTTTGGAGGGAATGGGAGGGATAAGGACACATATGTAATACCTTAATCAATAAAGAAAAAAAAAAACAATCACTATAAGACCAATTAAACACCACCAGTTAAAAAACAGATTGTCCAAATTGACTTTTAAAAATCCAGCAATTCTATGCACAGGTGTTTAACCAAGAGAAATGAAAATATTTGTCTCCAAAAAACTAATGTCCACAGAAACTTTATTCATAATTTAGTCAAAACCTTGAAACAACTCAAATAGTACTCAACTAGAGGTGCACGGATAAACAAATGGTGGTAAAACCATACAACAGAAAGAAACAAACTACTGATAAGCCTAAAAACATGGATGAATCTCAAAAATATTTTAGTGAGGAAAAATAACAGACATACAAATGCATACTGGGTGATTCATTTTTATATAGACTATAGAAAAAGCACAGTAATATATATCGTCAAAAAGCAAATCAGAAAATGACTAGAAGTGGGGCACAAGGGAACTCCAGGATAATGAAAATGTTCTGTGTCTTGATTGTAGTCACAGTCACACAGTTGTACACATATACCAACATTCATTGAGATGTATATTTTAAATAGGGGTATTTGGTTGTATGTAAATAAAACTTCAAAAAAGTTGATTTTTTAAAACTGATCCAGCCAAACACTTGTTTATCAGAAACACGACTAAAATATAAAGACACATAAAGTTGGACGTTGCATAAAGGAAGGAAAAAGATCTGGCAATTGTTAGTACAAAAAAGAAATAGAGTTATATTACAATCAGAAAACACACATTTTAAGGCAACAAACATTACTATGGGTAAAGAGGACTACTAAATAAGGACTACAAAATAATGATAAAACAAACAGTAACAAAGGATAGATTTTAAGGCTGTTTTAATATCTGACCATTAAAAATATACTCTTTTCAGGACATATAATAGATTTTGAAAACCTGACTATATACTAAGCAGACAGCACTCCTCAATAAATTTTAAATAATTTGTATTAGAAATCATGTATAAACCATGTAACAATAATACCATTTGTTTGAAAGTTAATAACAAAAAATATAACCCCAAAATCTAACTTATGTGCAATTTTTAAAATAAATATTTCTTTGATCCATGAGTTAGATAGAAGTCATAATATAAATCAAAACATATTTACAATTGAATAATTAACTAATCAAAATCCATGGAATGTAGTAAAGAATACTTAAGAGGGAAATTTACAATTAAAGACTTATAGAAGATTGAATATTAATGAGTTAATGGTCCAATTTAAGTTAGAAAAAGAACAGAGAAACAAAAACAATAGTTAATAGATTAGTGAACAAAAAAATAAAAGTATAATGAAGAGAATATACAAAGCTAAAATCAAGTTATTCAAAAAAACTAAAAAAGTTGACAAGCCCCTGATAAAATTGGTCAAGAAAAACAAACATATGCACTAATATATAATATTAGGAATGGAAAAGGGATTAATTATAGGAACATCAAAGCTTTAGGTACATTTGAGTGTCGTGTTGGGCAGAAATTGATTATTACAGATCATTACATATTTGGCCACCATGGCCATTAATTTTAACTTACCGCCAACAGAAGACACATTTATTTGCACATGCTAAGCTCGGGGTAGTTTCCATGCAACGATGGCTTTCGATACCATAGAATGTATGTTTATAGCAACCTCCTCTCCCTCGGAGCATTGACTGTGAATAAAAAACAAATGATAATTTAAATAAAATCCTCAAAGCACAGAAACACCAAGACATCATTTTAAAGAAACCATGTGTTTTATAACCATAAATAGCCCTAATAGCATCTGCACGGTGCAGAAAATTAACACAATAGCATTATAGTGTTCTGATAATGATTTGCATTTTCTAAAACCCAATGAAATAAACCTAAGATTCATTAACTCTGAAAGCTCTATAGGAAGGATCATTTATGCTTTTATTTTTCAAATCCGTCCAACTGTCTCAAATAATACCAGTTCAAAAATACTTAATGCAGGAAGAAACAAGATGGCGGCATAGGTAAACACCGGAGAATGCTGCCTCGCACAACCACTTTAAAAATACAACTAAAAGACGAAACGGACATCACCCAGAACCACAGGAAAGCTGGCTGAGGGGAAATTCTTCAACTAGAAGGAAAGAGAACAGCATACCGAGACTCAGAGGAGGCGCAGTGCGGAAAATACAAAGGTGCGGAGGTGCGCGTGGAGCGGGCTGGTGGCTGAGGGCGCAGTTGTCGTTTTCAATCAGGAGGGAGGCTCAGGCCCTGAGCTCCAATTCTGGGCGAGTCTCTAGGGACCCAGACTCAAATGGGAGAAGCGGGACTGTCTGGCATCGGTCGGAATGCGAGGGCAGCTTTCCCTCCAAGGTTTGCAGCCGTTGCTGGGACTCTGAGAGGCAGAGCCTCTGGGGACAGGAATGAAAGCAGCCATAACTGCTCCCTCCGCCCACCCTGTTTGATCCCGTGCGACCCGCCCCGCACAAGCCCTGCACAGAGCCATTTGCCAGATAGCCTCAGGCAAAGGCTAGATTAGTACCTCCCCAGAGGACAGAAGTTTTCCCACTGCAGACACAGCTGACTCTCACAGCCAGTTGGCCTGGAGGTCAAATCCCCCCAGTATTAACTACAACAATCAAGGCTTAACTACAACAAGACTGCACACAAAGACCACTAGGGGGTGCACCAAGGAAGCATAACAAAATGCGGAGACAAAGAAACAGGACAAAATTGTCAATGGAAGATATAGAGTTCAGAACCACACTTTTAAGGTCTCTCAAGAACTGTCTAGAAGCCACCGATAAACTTAATGAGATCTACAAGAAATCTAATGAGACCCTCAATGTTATGATAAAGAACCAACTAGAAATGAAGCATACACTGACTGAAATAAAGAATACTATACAGACTCCTAACAGCAGATCAGAGGAGCGCAAGAATCAAGTCAAAGATTTGAAATGCGAAGAAGCAAAAAACACCCAACCGGAAAAGCAAAATGAAAAAAGAATCCAAAATTACGAAGATAGTGTAAGGAGCCTCTGGGACAGCTTCAAGCGTACCAACATCAGAATTATAGGGGTCCCAGAAGATGAGAGAGAGCAAGATATTGAAAACCTATTTGAAGAAATAATGACAGAAAACTTCCCCCACCTGGTGAAAGAAATAGACTTACAAGTCCAGGAAGCACAGAGAACCCCAAACAAAAGGAATCCAAAGAGGACCACACCAAGACACATCATAATTAAAATGCCAAGGGCAAAAGACAAAGAGAGAATCTTAAAAACAGCAAGAGAAAGAAACTCAGTTACCTACAAGGGAATACCCATACGACTGTCAGCTGATTTCTCAACAGAAACTTTGCAGGCCAGAAGGGAGTGGCAAGAAATATTCAAAGTGATGAATGCCAAGAACCTACAGCCAAGATTACTTTATCCAGCAAAGCTATCATTCAGAATTGAAGGTCAGATAAAGAGCTTCACAGATAAGGAAAAGCTAAAGGAGTTCATCACCACCAAACCAGGATTATATGAAATGCTGAAAGGTATCCTTTAAGAAGAGGAAGAAGAAGAAAAAGGTAAAGATACAAATTATGAACAACAAATATGCATCTATCAACAAGTGAATCTAAGAATCAAGTGAATAAATAATCTGATGAATAGAGTGAACTGTTGATTATAATAGAATCAGGGACATAGAAAGGGAATGGACTGACTATTCTTGGGGGGAAAGGGGTGTGGGAGATGCGGGAAGAGACTGGACAAAAATCGTGCACCTATGGATGAGGACAGTGGCGGGGAGTGAGGGCGGAGGGTGGGGTGGGAACTGGAAGGAGGGGAGTTATGGGGGGGGGGGGAAAGAGGAACAAATGTAATAATCTGAACAATAAAGATTTAATAAATAAATAAAAAATACTTAATGCAAAGGGATAAGTAACACAGTCTCCAGAAAATGCAGAAGCCGGTCATACGAAAGAGTATCTCTGCTTTGAATAAAGGAGGGTGGGTAAGGGAATCCATCCTGGAGCATATTCCATGTCAACTGAACAGTAGAATTTGAACATATTGGGACTGTTGAGGAGACAAGCCACATGTATAATAAGTAGGTTATTTTAAAAAAACAACACTGTTTAATACGTGAGAGGTAAAACCACAGCAGTAAGAAAGGGTAATTTGAAGAAATATTGCAGATTAATTAGGGTTGGAGTCACAAGATATCAAGCTTTATAAGGTATCATAAGAAAGATTTGTCCAAAAGCTCTGAGTAACACTGGCATGATTTCAGTAAAAGGGAAGCTTGTGAGGAGTTTACGCAAGAGAAGTCATAATGACAGCCCATAATATCAATGGAGGAGAGGAATAGGGTACTAAAGAGGTATAACCACTGGCATTCCCGATCAGAGGGGCAAAACAGAGAAAGTCATCTAAGATAAATGAGAGTTTAAGCCTAAGTAAATGAAGTATGATGGTATTAACAACAGCAACAACAAACAAGGAGACACAGTTAGGTAGTCTTTATACATATGTATGTGTATACACATTACACATCACACGTCAAGTGTACTAATATTATAATGCTGTCCACAATGAAGAAAATTATAGATAAAATCTACCAGCTTTATTACTACTAGTATGTCAGTTGATTAGAAAGTCTTTTATTTTTTTGTACTGATAAAAGGACTTCCCCCTCCATCGCAGTACAGTTGACCCTTGAACAAAATAGGTTTGAAATGTGCAGGTTCACTTAGATGAGAAATTTTTTTTCAATAAATATTGCATAGGTGCTTTCTCTTCCTTATCATTTTATTAATAACTTTTGATTTTCTCTAGCTTATTTTATGGTGAGAATACAGTACATAATACATATGCAATATATGTGTTAGTCGACTATTTGTGTTATTGGTAAGGCTTCCAGTAAACAACAGGCTATTAGTAGTTTAAGTTTTGAGGGAGTCAAAAGTTACACGCAGCTTTTTGACTGTAAAGGGTCAGGGAACAACCTCCGTGTTGTTCAAGGGTCAAATGTACTTGCATTAAGAGCAAAAAAAGGAGTGAAGGGAGAAAAATATTGTTCAGGATAATGGTGTTTACAAACTCTTCAAAATTTCCAATAAAATATTCAAGAAGACAAAGAAAACATTCAAATCTTGTAAATAGCATTGAAAACTAAAAGTCCACCAAATGCCAAACACAGAGTAATTTCCACTAGCATGCCAATGGAGAAACAGTTGAAGACGTGCATATTTTCATTATTTACCGAGTAGTTAATATACCCAAGCATGCTGTGCACATGATGAATAAGACAAAGCCTCCGGTCGCCATGGTATCCCTCAGTGAAGGAAGCCTCAGGCCCAGGAAAGCAGAGCATTTCTCCGGCCAGCTCACTTGTTACAGGGATAGGGTGGTGGGGAGGGATCTCTATCATTTCATTTTCACTTGGCTACCCTGATATCTTTTGGCAGGAGAGGGAGACTGCATATCTAGCAGGAAAGGAGAGTACTTGTCCAGCTGCTTATTGTTAACGGGGCTCCCAATCGAACCCCTTTCCCAGTGGTACTGGTCTCCCCTGATCTTGTAACAGAGATTCCCATTCTATACTGGGGAAGAATGAGCCTCCCTGGAGGCCAACTGTTGCAAGATCGAGGATCAGGACACTTGGGGTCAGAGTTGCCTTCTTCTTTAGGTGGGAGATATAAGACATCCTACTGCTCTGTTGTCCCTCGGTCCTAGGTCCCGAACCAGCCAGGCTTCCTCTTACCGCCTTTCAGAGTTCTTGTTTGGTTCCCTTTTGTGTTTTTCATGGTTTAGAATTGTGCGTCTTAGGAAGGCGCAGGGAGAAAAGAGTTTATGCCATCTTGTCCAAACCAGAAGTCCTCAGACATTACATTTTCAAAGTACTCCCACATCTGAAAATTAATGGAGGATCAAGGTGGAAAAGAGAAGACTGGAGAGCAGCACATGCTTAGAATTCATGTTAAGAATCGAGAAGGGAAAATATAGCCTCAGATTCGATAATCCATGAATTCTTACCCTCGAGATAAATAAGAGCCTGGAAAAATACAACTGCAGCCCAGCAGAGCCACAATGAATGAAGGCAAGACACCATTAGGGAGGCTCTGTGCACATCAATTGGAAACAGAGGTACAGGGAAAAGAAGGGAGGCATACAATACTCGATGGGTCTCTCTGAATGTCTTGAGAGAAGAGGCACTGACTGTCTTTAATCTAGACTCTCTCTTCAAAAGGGTTTGTATAGTGAATAGCCTTGGAAGATAGCATCTCCTTCTAGAGTAAAATGATAGCTATGCGTACTATCCAATATAATAAAGACGTGTCTCTCAAAGGGAAAGGCCTAGCCGAATTATTCCCAATTATAAAAGATTCATAATCCCTAAGTGTGGGGGTCCACTCCTATAATGTATGTACAGATGTTATCTGGTCTCCACAGTGCTGCTTTATTAGAACTAGGGCTCAAGAACCAGAGAAAATGATGATATTCTGCTATTATTATGAGTAACAAACTGTCCTTATCCTCTGCCACTATCCATGAAACTATGGCAGGCTAACTCGTTAGCTTTCAAGTATAGTAAAATTTCAGACTCTTCAATTTTTGACAGGGATGAAGAGCTCAGTGCAGAGGTCGATAAACTCCATACAGCCTATGCATCAAATCCAGTCCACTGTCTGTTACTGTAAATA